AGTTTTTTTTTTTCTTCTTGCCTCAATTTTGGGTTATGACCTTTCTTGGTTTTTGTCTGAAAACTTCATGTATTACCATTGGTATGTGATTAGGAAATATCAATCTGATAATCATTTGGGGTTTGTAGAGATATTTGTCAAGTTTTTCTTATAGAACTAAGAGGAAATCTCAAACAGCTTGGGTTAAGTGTCATCAGAAAGATTTCTTCCTTCAAGAGCATCAGACTGAGTTAACGAGTCTTGCATCCATCCTTTCTAGTACACCATGGGAGCTTTTAATTTGGTTTTAGTAAATTTTTCACGGATAAGAGTTTCTTCCCTCACAAAACTGTTCTTTCCCACCTCTCTCCACATCTAATTCCCAATCTTTGTTATTTTTAAGCCTTAGGTAGCCAGTCATGAGTGTGTAGATGCTAACCTTTGGGCTGGAATCCTTGATTCTTGCAGTTTAAGGTAATGGATATTGCAGCCCATCTGGATTTTCTTCACTGTCATTCTCATGACTCCTGGAGTTTCTCCAGAACGTGGTGTATTTTATTGTGCTCCTATGTAAGATGAAGAATTATTACATTTCCAACACATACACACACACAAGAGAGATTGGCCTGTAGTTTTCAAGTTGGCTTCTTGTCTGGTTTTGGAATCAGGGTAATGCTGACTTCCAGAATGACTTAGGGAGTTCTCCTTCCCTTTCAGTTTCATTAAAGAGCTTAAAGAGTTTTGGCATTAGATCTTCCCTGAAGTTCAGGTCCAGTTCAGTGGTGAATCCATCGAGTTCTGCCAAAAGCCCCCATTGGTGACCTCCTCTCCCATATGAGCTCTGCGAGGGCAGGAAGAATGAATTCTATTCATTATCCCACAGAATAGTGCCTGGTACAGGGTAGGCACTTGGGTTTGTTGATTGAATGGGTGAATGTAGAGTTCAGGCTTTTGCTTATTTTGTTTTTGTTTTTTGAGACAAGGTCTCCGTATGTAGTTCAGGCTGACCTTGAATTCACTGTGTAGCCCAGGCTGGCCTTGAACCTGCAGCTAAGAGTTCAGTCTTGAAGCTTAAGGTTCCACTCCAACACAGCCTGCCTTTCACACCTACAACCGTATTGCCCAAATGCTCTCTCTTTTTTTTTTTTTTTTGGCAGTACTAGGGATTGAACCCACAGCCTCTACACTGAGCTGCAGCCCCAGCCCTTTTTTATTTTGTATTTTGAGACAGGATCTCACTAAGTAACTAAGTTGTCCAGGCTGGGCTCAAACTTGACATCCTCCTGCCTCAGCCTCCCAGAGGGCTAAAACTATGGCCATGTATTCCCACACCTGGCTGCCTAAGCTCTCTGAGCTGCATTTTCCTCACCTGGAAAATGAGAAAACATCTCTCTTAGGGCGAGTGTGAGGGCACAATGGATGCTATGTGTCAGGGCCCTGCCACCCTGCCTGGCAGCTGTCACAGCAATGTCCTTGCTGTGGCTTAAGGAACTATCTAGGTGCCAGGTGCTCTGTGGATGCAGAGACAAGAGGGGCCGTGCCCTGAACCTCAGGACTTCTCAGGCTCATAGGAGGACAGGTGGCAAACAGGTAGCCACGTGAGGGGTCCAGGCAGCTGTCCTAGGAGCCCAGGCTGGGGCTGTAGCTCGGGGTAGAGCATGCGCCTTAGCAGGGTGGAGGTGCTGGGTTTGATCCCCAGCACCCCACAAAGAAGAGAAAGAGAGAGCACATGGCCAAAGAAGGTGTGGAGGGGACATCTATGCCTGGTCCTGGACGGCAGAGAGGTTTCCTAGCAAAGAAGGCAGAAAGGGAGTTGGGGAGGAAGGAGAAACAGGCTGAGCTGTGAAGCCCATGGGTGCAGGAGGAGTCTGTGGGGTCACCATGCATCAGCGTGGGCCACCGTGCTGGTCACCAATGCCTGACATTCCAGCTCCACTTCCGTGCAAATCATGCCACCCACCAGGGAAGGAGCCGGGAAAAGAGTATTTAAGGACACAGGGAGCGGGTGGGGGGTGTGGCTCAGGGGCAGAGGAGGACCACGGGTGCGGGGCTCTGGGTTCGATTCCAGACACAGCAGGTCACACAGGATCGTCACTGACGCTGCACTAAACGCACTCGCTCTCAGTGCCTTCACCTGTGTAACCCCAGTGTGGGGAAGGTGGCCCTCTGGAGAGCTCCGGATGCCCTCCCTGGTTAACCCCTCCCACTCTGGGTCCCTGTGGCACAGGTCTGTTTGCTGTCACTGTTTGATCCCGTCAATAAAGGGTAGATAGGGCTGGGGATTTAGCTCAGTGGTTTCGCCGCCTGCTGCGCAAGCACAAGGACCTGAGTTTGATCCCAGGTACCAAAAAAAAAAAAAAAAAGGGTAGATAAGGATGACTACAAGCTATGGGTGGAAGGAAAAGCAGGGAGCATGCAGGAGCTATAGGTCATGATGGGGGGCACCCACTCCTATGACTACAGGTGAGAACGAATGTTTCTTTAAAAACTTTGTTTCCAAGTCGCGCAGAAGACGCTGAATCAGTCCGCTGCAGACAGGCAGGTCTGCGCACGCCCTACCGAGGTCCAGAGTCTCACAGAACTCGCAGAATCAGCCCGAGCCCAGGCAACAATCCACTGGACCCCCACCCCCGCTCCTCTGTACAGCCACCTGGTTCCACACTACAAAGACGCAGAGGACACCAGACCATGAGACCACGGTACTGAGTCCCGCTGCTCCCGGCCCAGAGGTAGGGGCTTCTGAGCTACCATCCCACTGCTCCCAGCCCAGAGGAAGGGGCTTCCCAGCCACCATCCCTCCCGCTGCTCCCAGCCCACAGGAAAGGGCTTTTGGGTCACCATCCCTACCGCTGCTCCCGGCCCCTGTACCACCTCACCCAGCTCAGAGGAGGTAATCCGTGCAGGTGCCAACAGCCTCCACCCCAGATGAAATGAGAAAACACGTAAATAAGTCTCAAAACCAGACTTCCAGATCACCTACAGCAACCCCAAAGGGAAATGAGATGGAACACTCTGATACTCAACCACCTGGACCCACTGAACTGGCAACAAAAGAGGATCTGGGAAAAATGAAATCAGAAATAATTTCTCAGATAACAGGAGAAATTGTGCCCCTAGTGCGAGACATGATTAATAAATCTAGAGAGGAGCTCAGGAACATGATGGAATCCCAAAATAGGAAACAAATGGAATCCATAAAACAGATGCAAACAGATTTCCAGGACATGAAAAACTCCATTGAAAGTCTAAACAGCAGAACGAGCCAATGTTAGGATAGAATTTCAGATATAGAAGATAAGATTGCAATTAATGACCAGGAAAAGAAAAATTGCTTCAAAATTATAAGGAAACACGAGAAATCAATCCAGCAGCTGCTAGATGATGCAAAGAAGAATAGCATAAGACAGACTGGAGTCAATGAAGAAACAGGAGAGAGTGCAGATGACATAAAAAAATCTCTTCACAGAAATAATGGCAGAAAACTTCCCAAGCAGGGGAAAAGAGCTTGACATACAGATAAGTGAGGCATATAGGACTCCAAATAGCCTTGATAAAAGAAAAATCTACACATAGGCATATAATTGTTAAGATTCCAGAAACTCAACAGAAGAACAAAGTTCTACAAGCAGTCAGAGAAAAGAAACAAATCACATACAAAGGAAAGCCCATCAGAATCACAGCAGACTTCTCAACACAAACCATCAAGGCAAGAAGAGCCCTAAAAAAAAAAAAAAAAACTTTGTTTCCTCCAGGAATTCCCCAATGCCCTGTCATTAGCTGACAGCCATTAAGTCATTGGAAACTTAAATTGATCAAGATCACTTTGATCCAAACAATTATAAATTTCACTTGAATATAGCAATTTGCCAGGTTCTAAGTGCCACGCAATGCAGTGGCCAAACTGAAATTAAGAGAAAAAACCAGATCCTACAGACTTTTAAAACCACTAAAAAGTGACTGCAAAGAAGAATTCCATTCCCTCCTTTCCTTTCCCCTTCCCCTCCCACTTCCCCTACCCCCTTGGACCTTTTCTTCCTATTCAAATTATCAGTTATTTGTTTTAATCGTTTTATCCGTATTTACACTTTCAGCTTCTCAAGAAGGGAAAGGAAAAATTATGAGAAAAGAAAAAAATGGAAACGAAATCTATGTAAATAGGGAAGGGAGGAGGGGTGAAGGGCGCACAGGGAATGGGGAAAAAATGAGAACCAAGATGCATCATGCGCAGGTACAAGCACCCAAGATAAATGTAAATGTACTGTATACCTAAAATGTACCAATAAAAGAACTTAAGCAAAAAGAAATTTACTATATTAAATAATTTTTTGCTTTAAGCTTTTCCCATGGAGGATGGGGAGAGATGTGTTAAAATCACAATTACCACAGTCTCAGTGAAGGGTTGGGGCAGTGATACTGTATGACAATAGTCCTTTGTATTAAAAGTCATCCCAGACAACTCCTTAAACATAGAGCAAGGGGTCTCCTCAGAAGCATACAGATGTCCTGGACTCCTGGTTATTTTGAGGTATGAATCTATCTTCTACCAAGCTGGCGCCTAGCCAGATGTGTCCTTTTCATAACCCCAATTGCCATGTGCTTGGCTAAGAAAGCTCCCAAAGTATTTGACATTCACTAGCAATATTTACTACCGCAGTATAAAATACCCAGGCTGCATGTCAGGCACAATACATAATGTTAATTTACAGATTTCTCTGGACAACATTCCAGGTATAACTAGCTATAACCCCCGGTATAATTAGCTATACCTTTGATTGCTTACCAAAATGCTGAATAATGGATGAAAAATCCCAACATAATTGTCAACCCTTGGAACCCCAGGAAGTATGGAAAAGGAACCTGCAGGCATACACCAAAAATAAAGGTCTCTAGTGCTTGCTTCTCCTGCACTTTGAGTCTTAACACAAACTATACTGTGCTCGGACAGAATCACAAGACAGGATGTCGCTGAAGCCTTCCTCACTCTGCCCGCCCCAGAGTGCGGCAAAAGACCCGAGACTCACCGAGAGGAACTCCGTGAGCTCTCGCGGCAGGACCAGCTTCAGTTCCCCCTTGTTGAGCTTGAATCGGTTCCCTTCCTTGCAGGAGTAGCAGCGGTGGAAGATCCGAATCGTGGTGGGCACGTCGGCAGCAGACCAGACCACACCACACGGGGAACAGACGGCCAAAGTGGGAACAGTGCCCTTGCTCAGAAGAACCATCAGCACTTCCGTGAACACAGACTCTTCCCTTCCCCGGGTCCGCCCGCTTCGTGGTGACTGACGGTCGCTAAACCACAGCAGTCTTTCCACTAAAGACAGCACCCACCCCTTCCAGGCCAGCTGGGGGAGGCTTCTGTCCTCTCCGAACCCCAGTTCCCCAAGATGACCCTAAGTCTCAGCAGGACCACAAGTCAGCAACCAGACCACGGGCATGGAGCCACGTTAAAACACGTTAAAAAGTAAATAAAAACAGGAAGAAAGCCCTAAGTTCCTACCTGGTCAACCATTACGTGCTCCACCAACAGGTGTTTACAATGGAACTGTGAGCGTCATTCCCGAGCTTCCTCCCCGGCACACCTGTGTCCAACCGATGACAATTACCAGTGACAAGAGATGCAATCAGTGGTGCCTGTGTGCCTGTTTTTAATCAGCAGAAGGAACAGGTGTGAGCTGCTGCCCTGAGGGCGGTGGAGGGCCTGCCATCCGCTCTGTGCCCTCAGGAACCCAGGCCAGGAAGGAGGAAGCCTGTGGCCTGTCCCAGGGGAGGAGGGAAGAACACGCAGGCAGTTGCTAGGAATTGATGGCTAGGAAGAAGTCTAAAAATAGAAGAGCAAATGGAAACACTGGCCCAAGGCTGAGGATGCCTGGCAAGGCCAGCAGTGAGGTCAAGGACAGGAACTCAGGCAGAGTGGTGGGACTCACCCAGCGGGCAGAAGACACCGTCCAGGTGCCGATGGAGAAAGGCATGAAGCAGTCAGCCCAGCTATGTAAAACAGATGTGAGATACGGGAGTATGTGTATATATGCTTGCCTTTGCCCAGAAGTCAATGGAAAAGTATATAAGAAAGTAACCAATCAGTAGTTGTAAGGCAACTACCCAGGGAGGGGGACAGAATGGCTGGAAGTTAGACTTCTTCATTTATACCTATTTCATTAATTTTAATTTTTTTTTTTTTTAGTTATAGGAATGCATTACCTAGTCAAAAAATTGAGATTGTTGGGCTGGGGATTTAGCTCAGTGGTTCTGCCACCTGCCTTGCAAGCATTAAGGACAGCATGGCTGGAAGTTAGACTTCTTCATTTATACCTATTTTGCTAATTTGAATTTTTTTTATTTATAGGAATGCATTACCTAGTCAAAAAATTGAGATTGTTGGGCTGGGGATTTAGCTCAGTGGTTCTGCCACCTGCCTTGCAAGCATTAAGGACCTGAGTTCCATCCCCAGTACCAAAAATAAAAAAAATTGAGATTGTTGAGCATGGTAAATTCAACACCTATAATCCCACCTCCTCAGGAGGCTGAGGCAAGACGATCATAAGTTTAAAGCCAGACTGGGCAACTTAGCAAGATCTGTCTCAAAATAAAAAGTGAAACAGGCTAGGGGTGTATAGCTCCGTGGCAGAGCATCCCTGGGTTGGATGGTCAGCACTACAATCAATTAATCAATAGAAATTAAGCTAAAAAACAAAAACAAAATACTGTGGAGCAGTGTGTGTATGAGAACCATGAAGGGGACATCCGAGAGAGAGACTTCATAAAGAAGTGTCCCAGAAAAGCCAAAGCCGGAATTGGCTACTGTGCTTTTAGGTGCTGTTTCTGGACTGAAATTTAATTCTATGGAAATGAGACAGTACCTCCTTCCTCTTTCCCTTGAACAAACCAGGATGATGGGACTTCAACGCGTCCAATTGTCTCCCATCTCCACACTGGGCACTGCAGTCCCAGCGAGGCCCCGGGGTGCCTGAAGTCTGATTCTCAAAGACATTTCTAGTTTATCACTAAGGTAATCATGCATGAGATAAAATAATGGTATTCTGAATAGTCAAGAGTATGAAGAAAGCAAAATCCTTCTTCCTCGTTTCCTACTCTGGAGCAAGCTCAATTGACATTTCCCGAACAAGGGGCTGTGTTAGAGAGGTTAAAAACCTGCACTGGTTGGCTTTAATTCTCACCTCCGCCACTAAGGAGCTGAGTGGTTGGCCTCAGTTTCCACAGTGGTATAAATGTGGTAGTGTACCTGCACAATGAGAAGAATCAAAAGAATTAAAATATGTTTCTGGAGCATAGTAGTGTGTCTGGATCCGCTATTATTATCCTTATATAAAATCATTCTAAAAAGTATGTTCCTTATATAACTATTACTTGTGTATCTTTAAACATGCATTTACATCAATAGCATCAAATGTATACACTTTTTCTTTACTTAATATGTCCTTTAAAATCTTGCTCGAGTTCCTTAACAAACTAAGAATACAGACATCATTTGATCGGGCTGTACTGATTCACGGTACAGTACAACCCCGAGAGAACAGGAAGCTGTGCCCTGCAGTGACACCTGCATACCCACACTTCTCATGGGGACACTCACAGCTGTGGGGAGAGCCTGGACACCTGTGAGCAGGCGAATGGATAAAGGAAACCTGGTACACTCACACACAGTGGAATATAGTTTGGCCAGAGAAGAATAAAGTTGTGTCATTTTCAAGAAAATGGATGGAATTGGAGACAATCACATTAAGTGAACTAAGCCAGACTCAGCAAGTTAAATGTTGCATGTTTCTCTTATATGAGCAACCTACAAGAATAAGCAGGAAGGGAGAAATGAAAGGAAAGTAGAAGATAGATGATTAGAAGGAGGAAGGGTAACAAAGGAGGACGGGTAGTGGGGGTGGCCCTTAGCCCTGATGCGTCATCTTGGCCGGAGTCAGAGCCCCCAGCAGGTTAGGGAGCTCTGGGTGTGGCTGTGGGCGGCTGAGGAGAAGTTGGTGAAACCTGAGGCGGGAAGACTCAGGCAGGTGAGGGTGACGCCAAAGAGGCTTGCAGCCTGGATGGAACACAAAGAGAAAGGAGGAGGAAGCCTGGCCTTTTCTGCCTCAGAGGAGCTCTGGTCTTTGCCATTGCCTTTGGTCCCTAGCCTCCAGTACCCACTGCAGGCTCTTCAGGCTGCCGACACAGAGCCCTCAGCCTGCTGCCGCGGACCTGCAGCAGACTCTGCAGTGAGCTCCAGGCCTTGACCTCCAATGGGGTTCTCCAACCCTGTGGCTCCCAAGTGGCCATTCTGCGCGCTTCCACCTGTGGCTCCTCAGGTGGTCCTTGTGAGCCTAGCTGGTAAATCTTTTGTATGATTATATACATTTTGTATTGACTAAATCTGTTCCTCTAACAAACACAAATTGAAAATAATCAAAGTATGTTATATGCATGTACCAATATACCAGCACAAACCCATTCATTTCTATTAATTACGAGTGAAATTCTCTTCCTCAGCACATACAGACCTTCCCTATTCTTCACTGAAGTCGCATATTATCTCCATGGGGGCTGCGCCTACATATAATTAAGAAACACCTATCGTGTCCTTCTGTTATTCCAGGTCCCATGGAAACAGGACAGATGAATCACACCCTGGAGCAAGTCTGATTGCCATTTCTCCTGGGGGTGTTAAACACCAGGAATGCAGGGACCACCGGCAGCTTGTCCTCCTTGAGTGTCCCCGTCCATGAGTGCCTTTGGGCGTCATGAACACACTCTCCTGGTCTCCTCCCCGATGCAAATGCACTTACATTCTGCAACATTTAAACTTCTTTCCCAGTGCTCTCTGTCACTTGCATAATTCAGTCACTCCCTAAATTGTACTTTTTACCCAGATTTCTGTGCTAAGCTCCAGAATGATCTATATATCTGCCTGCTGTGGCCCAAGCTTACCAAACTGAACTGAGATCAAAGTAATACTCCTCCCCCTTTCCCACCCAGACCTGCTGCTCCTGCTGTAAGGACCGCTTCAGTCATCCACTCCACTGGTCACCGGGCTTCTCCCACCACCTTGAAATGTCGTTCAATGCTTCCACTCCTCTCCGCCCCTCCCCACCATCAGGTCTTATGGTCTCCATCACCACCAGAGCTCCCTTGCTGCTCTCTCCACAGGTAGGTTGCACCCTTCCATTCCAATCTCCATTCTGCTGGCAGAGTCGCTGATCTGAAATACAAACCAATTCCCACACTCCTGGGCATCCAGAGGCCTGGCCCTGCCTGGCCCTGCCTGGCCCTGCCCATGATTTGGGCTCTCTCTTTCTGCCGGGAATGCTGACTGCGCCTGCTGCTTGAAGATTCCAGTCAAGCCGCGTCTCCTCTTGGAAGTTCTCCTGCCTTCTTCCCAGTCCCCCCACAATGGCCCACCCTATCCCCCCTCGGCCTCTGCTCATCTTCTTGCCTTTATTATCATCACACTCATCACACATTCCTGCGATCGCTTGTCTCTAGTCTGCTGTACACAGCCCTGCTCTCCACACCTGGACTGAGTTCCCTGGTACCAGGGCCGATGTCTGGTCTGTCTTTGCAGTCCATGGTGTAGGACAGGATCGGCACTTGGAAGTGCTCAGGAATCCTCGCCAATGGGTAGCTGGACGAGCATGTGAGTCAGGGAAACTCTTAAGATCCCCCATAGCTGAGTTAACTGTTCGGATAATTATTTGATTGCCTTATTCCACAAAAACAATTTTTTTCTTCACCAAAGGCAAAGAGAAGATAGATAACAATCATTCTGAGGAACACAGAGTTTGAATTTGGAATTAAGTATTATCAGGTTAAACTGCTGCCAAGTTAATAGATGCCTAAAATCAGCAAATCTATAAAAGTGTGTGGTCCCAGGCAGTAATATATTTAAATAACACCCTCCCACAAAAAGATTTAAATCAAAGAATCCTCAATGGAAAAGACACTGAAGGTTGTGACGCTGTCTTTGGATTCTAGAGATGGAAGTTTGTCTTTTACACCCTGCACTCCTGGAGTTGAAAAGCAAGTGGTTTCCTTTCTGTGTGGCTGTGGCAAGTTAACATTTCATCAGGTGCCTGCTCCCTCCTAGTATCCGGCTCTGGGGCTGCACCTGGGAGACCTCATTCCCAGAAGGTGGTTCTAAAACACGTGGCCTTTCTCCAAGGCTCTTATTTTTGTGCCCTCCAAGAACATTTTAGAAACAAAGTAATGTCAAAAGGATCAAGGGACTCTGTCAAGGAGGACACACATTTACAAATGACAAGTGACATGGAATCCCCAGATGGGGGGAGACGCCTGTTTGTAGCACTGAGGACTAGCCTATGCACCTTGCTTGATCTATAAATTATTACCGTTTTATGCCTCTACTTTATTATCGATGACCAGTTTTCAAGTTGTGATACTTAGGGCGAAAATGTCCAACTTCACATCCAAGTTAATATGTAGAGTGTGGGGAAATAGCTAGACATGGTGGCACATGCCTGTAATCCCAGCACTCAGGAGGCTGAGGCAGGAGGATCACTGCCAGTTCAAGGCCAGCCCGGGTTACATAGTGAGACCCTGTCTGAAACAAAAACAAAAACTTTTTCATTCTAAAATTTGTGTAAGATGTGCTTGCTTTGGCAGCACATATACTAAAATTTGTGCAAAAACCAATGGACTTCAGGGAGGGGCTGAAGTTCAGAGTACCTTCTCCCACAGGACCGGTAGGAAAGCTGGCAGCCAGCCCTGCTGCAGGAGCCACAGGAGCTGTTTCTCATCTTTCAATGATGTCTCCTATGCCCCTGATTTCTCTGCTGAATCAAAGGGGCTCATTTTGCCTTTTATCCATAGGCTAAAGCCGAGAGCCAGAAAGAAGAGGGCTTTAAAGGCCAGGGTTTCAATATTAATTTTCTTGTCACAAGTCCAACAACCTATTTCCCTAGATAAAATGAGATTTCCACAACCTGCTTCAAAATAACCATAACCCACTGGGTGGGAGGCAGGTATGGTTTCCTGGGAGGCAGGAGATGTTAAGCCAGCCTGGCCCCATTGACTGACGAGCTGACCGTCAGACCTGAAGACCTACACGTGAGTGTTCCTCAGCCAGCTCTGGTTTGCTCTCTTCTATATCTTTGACGTTTTCCTTAGTGAAAAGTTCACACACAGGCTGTGTCAGTCAGCTTCCGTTACAGTAACAGACACTGAGATGAATCAACTTAGAACAAGGAGAGGCTGCTCATGGCTTGCAGTTCTGGGGGTCTCGGGGTTCTGGTCCATGGTCAGCCGGTCACTCTACCTGTGTAGAGGCAGCACATGGTAGCAGGAGTGCGTGGCAGAGGAGGCCTCACCTTGTGGGACAAGCGGAAGATGGAGCAGGAGACCAAGGCCCCTCTGAAGACACAGGGATAAGGGCCTCCCACTAGGCCTCACCTCCTAAGGCTCTGTACTTCCCACTGGAATCGTTATGGTTTAGATCTCGACTGTCCCCCAGAAGCCTTGTGTGTCCAGAGGTGGGGTGACTAACGGAAGGTGACTGGATCACGGGGTGCTCCCCTGCAGTGGATTCATCCACCGCAGAGTTCAGAGCTGCGTGTGCTCTTAGGAGGAGGGGCCGGTTAGAGGTGCGCACTGGGGGCGTGGCCTGGAGGGTGCATCTCCCTTCCTGGCTGCTCCCTTCTCTCTCTGCTTCCTGATCCGCAGGAC